TGTTCCAGTGAAAAGTCGGTGGATACTCAAGTGTGAATTTCAAATCATGTTCACTTATCATGAAGTACTCCTTTGACTTCTTTCAACTACTTAAAACTGTAAAGACCATGGTGTGCAGGACTGTGTCCAAGGTCCACAGTCTGCTGACCCTTACTCTAGGTCACTGAGGTCAATGGGACTGGTGCAGGGGATACTACGAGTTCTGCCGGGTAGTCACATTCTGGATTGCAAGCAAAATTCCCCATGACTCATTCCCAAGAGAAAGTGAGTGGCGTGGTGAGGTGTTCTGGAAAGGCACCACTAATTATCTCTACTCTGTCCATGGGGAGGGTGAGTCCTGGTGGCAAAGCGTGAACATTATGGTTCCCAGTTCAGGGCTCTTCTTTGGGAAGGAGCCTGGCACCCAGTGTGCCACTGCCTGTCTTCCTGGCCCCCAATCTGCCTCACAATAGCTCCCTGCAGCTCCTAGGCAGCCTGTGCAGGAGCCTAACAAGGTGAGGTGGAGAGCCCCCCGCTACAGGGCTGAGACCCTCCCTGCTCCAGGGTTCGGTCTGCTTTCACAAATGACAGCCTGGGTCCAAGAACCTGTGGCCTAGGAAGCTTCAGCTTCCTCCTGGCTTCTAGGCCAAGCCCTGCTGGCTGTATCTCCTACCTCCTCCAGGGAAGGCTCCCACAGTAGTGACTGCAAAGCACTTGGAACTGGGCAAGGGGCCAGCATCTGGGGACACCAAGGCCACAAGCTGTCTGTGTGGATTCTGAAGGCCACATAAAGATGAGAACCAGAGTTCTTGTGCAGGGGAAGGTGGCTCTGAGGCTGGCCATTGTCCCTAGCCCTCAGGCTGGCTCCCACGTACAGTGGGGGACACCCCTACTCCCGCCCTGGAGGGCCTCTGGATCAGGAGCACTACCTCGTCTCTTGAGGCAGTGGTAGAAGAGGCTTGAGTCCCTCTGGGGGGGGAAGGTGTTGAGAGGCAGGTCCTGTGGTTCAGCCGCAGCGAACTGCATGTGGGCCCCGTTTTCATACTGGTAGTGCTGCAGCGCCTGGTGGGCACTGTGCAGGGGGCTGACGTCGGGCTTGGCCGAGAGCTGGCTGGACACAAGCCTCTGCCTCATGATGCTTTTGGAGATCACAGGATACTCTTTGCTGGAGGGGGGAGCACAGGTGGAGAGACAGGAAGAGAGTGAAGATGCTTTGAGGGTTACCCAGTCTGCCCGCCCCATCCCAGGGCTGGGGCAGCCCCACCTCTGAAGCCGGGCCACACGCAGGTCACTGTCGTCACTGCCCCGGAATCCCTTGGCAAAAGGGTTGTTCTCAATTTTCAGCTGTGTGATCTGTTAGAAGAGGACACACAGTAGAGTTGCTGGGAGGAGAGAGGACTGGGCTGGCCTGTGGCCCTCCTCCCCCAGCCCAGGCACACTGATAACTCAGGCAGGCTCTGGGGAAGTCACGGCTAGTCCTAAGCCAGCTGGGAGTCCTTGGCCGTGCCAGTCACATGTAGCTTGTCCCTGGCTCTCCTCCACTCTGCTTCTTCTGATCCCTCCTAGTCTTTCTCCAGCATCACCTGGCTACAGTCCCTCAGCTGTCATTCTTGGGTCTCTGTAACAGCTTCCCAGTAGGCTTCCTACAAATGTCACCCATGTCCAGTGCAACTGCCACAACAGGTTCCGAGTGATCGTTCTAAATGCAAATCTGACTTGCCATTCTTCTGCCTCTACAACCTATGGCCCTCTTCCGATGGCCTCTCTGTGCCTGGCCAGTCCCAGTGTGTGCATGTGAGAAGCCCTCTGAGAAGGGCGAGGTGGACAGAGCAGAGAGGCACGAGAGTGGCCCACTCAGGATCTGCAGGGTGATGGCTGGAGCCAGGGCAGGGTGGGAGGTGGGCTAGGCCATCCCAGGCACCTCTCCTCATCCACTACCCTCCCTCTGCAGGCCTAGAATCCTACCTTTGGATGTACCTGGAGGAAGAAGATCACAGGATAAAGTAAGGCCTAAGACTCAAACCACGCACAGGCTTCCTGCTCCTGGTTTTCACAGTTCCTGGCTGTGGGCTCTGGCCTTCCCTGGCTCCTCACTTTGGCTACGCAGCTCTAGCCAGCAGGAAACAGCCATCCTGCCTTCTGCACTTTGTTCATCCCCCAAGTACAAAGATCAGGATCACTTTGTGCTCTCTAGTCTAGATTTGTGTCTAGTCTTTTCTGTTCGTCACTTGATTTGCTCACTGCTCTGAGGGACATGGTGGGTTTCTGAGGCCTCTGCCTGGGTCTGCCTCAGCTTCGCTGGGTCTCTCTGTGGCAGTGGCTAATGCTGGGTGGGGCCTGCAGGGTTGCGGCTGTACCTTGTGATTCTGGTAGGAAGTCACAGAGATGAAGGAGGTTTCTGGGAACACATGGGTGCAGAAGGCCGTGTTTTTGGAACCAAAAGCATTGTTCTCATCAGCCTTAACGATGTGTAGCCGTGGCTGGTACTTGTGCATGGAATTGAGGATGATCTGAAAGAAAAGGGTTTCACTGTGAGCTTTGGTCCCCACCTTGTGGTTCTTGACCTTGTTCAGCTGGCCCAGAGCTGGCTTTCCTCCTCCTAAAAGCCCAGGACCCAAGGGCCTAACCACAGGCACTGAATCTGGAAAGGCCCTAAAGCTCCCAGTAATAAATCAGGCCCCAAGTCCACACCACAGTCCCACTTAGCCTCTCTGCCCCAGCACTAATACCTGCTCCCAGGACCTCCCTGGTGTCCTCCACAGCTTAAAAGCCTATGAGTTCAGCACAGTGCAGTAGGGGGAAATTTGAGTTGTAAGCAGAAGTTCAGGGTGCTGCTGACTTCACTGTGTGATCTTAGGTAGGTCATTCAACTACTCTTAGCCTTGTTTTTACATCTGTAAAATGGGATCATCGTACATAACTTACCTCCCTCCAGTGTCTCCCTCCAGACTGACTTCCCACCCTGCCTGCATGTGACCTGCCTTCCTGGAAAGGCCACTGTGAGTGCTTGGCTGCCTCCTCTAACTTTGTTGGCAACAAAGACAGCTTCAGAGCCCAAGGGTTTGCAGGATGGAGGAGGGGGGAGAGGCTGAGAAGGATGTCCCACTTTGTTTTCATCACATTGCTCATTTGGGCAAGCATTTCTCAGCATTCACAGAGGCCTGCTGGGGGAGTTGCAGGGACACCAACCCATCCTGCCCCCAGCCCTGCCCAAGATGGAGGACAGCTCGTCATAGGTCAGAGATCCCAGTACCAAGAGAAGTTCCTACAATAATGCCAGAGGCCCCAGGCACCCAAGGGCCATGGACCAGGGGATGTAGGTCACTCCAGCTGGTCAAAGCTTAGCAAAGTGCCCAGGAGTCTCAGCTGCTGAAGCCCAGGGAATCACACACAGTAGTTGCTGCTCCAAACCTGCCTCACTTGGCGGTGCCCCACGGTAGCGACTGCATCATGTGCCATTAAAATGTATTTTTTATCGTTGACATTTGCCAGACGCCCTCCTCATGGGAGGCAGGACCAGGAATTTGGGGCATTTTATCAGCACCACTACATCTGTTAACCCTTTGGTTTCCGTGCTGGCCAGGCTGGCTCTCAGGTCCCACAGCTCACTGGGCTCCTTTATTGCTGCCTGGGGGTGCCCCTTCCCCGGGTTGCCTCTGATGGCTCCCACCCTTCCAGGTTCTCAGGGGCTAGGCTTGTGGCTGCAGCCTAGTGAAAGATTTAACTCCTTGGTGACCAGACTGCCAAAAGAAAGGCCAGTCAGGCTCTTCAGGGGCAAGTTTTGGCTGAAGTCTGAGTCCAGGATGGCTCTATACCCATCACGCCTTGGAGACTGGGACAGCCCAGGAGCAAGCTCTGCTGAAGACACGGGTGGGCCAGGGCCTGGCTGCAGGCTCTGGCCTTCCCTGGGCTCCTCAGTTTGGCTTGGTAACTTTGGTCAGCAGGAGCCAGCCTTTCTGCCTTCTCCACTAGTCACCACTCCTCAGCGACAAACCTGTGGATTCTCTTGGGGGCAAGTACAGAGCTTCCCAAACCCAAAACCAGGTCCTGTAGCTGGGGCCTGTCAGATGAGAAACTCAGAGGCTGAAGACCTAAGCCCTACGGAGGAGGCCTGACATCTGTCTTTTTCCAGGAGTCTGGAATGTTCCTATAGGGGAGTAGCTGAGTTTAGGGAAATACCTCCCAGCCCCTGCAGGTTACTCTGTCACCCTGCACTATTCACCATGCTGCAAAATCCCACAATGACCCTAAGTTCCCTAAGACCCAGCAGCTGAATACCTGAGAGGTGGCCTAGGAGTCTCCAAGAACACCCAGATTCCTGCCTCTGCACTTCTGTGCATGCACTTCCTCTGCTGTGCTGACTTCCTCTCTCATTCTATCACCTTCTAGGCCCATCTCTCTTCCAGGAAGGCCTAACTTGGAAGGCTTCCCAGATCCCAGGGCTTGCTCCCAACTCCCTGTTTAGAAACTTCCTCACAGTGCATTGTCTTCCTGGTTGCTCCCCATTTCTTCTTTTTCTTTTTTAAATATTCATTTAGTTGTAGATGAACACACAGTATCCTTATTTATTATTATGTGGTGCTGAGAATTTAACCCAGTGCCTCACATATGCAAGGCAGTGCTCTACCACTGAGCCATAGCCTGAGCCCCTCCCCATTTCTTCTTGTCCCTTCAGTTGAACTATAGACTCCTCCAGAGAAAGAGCTATATCTTTTATTCCTTTTGCACCTCCAGTTTCCTTGGCCCCAATACAGGATCTAGGTGGGGCTTCAGGAGTCAGAAGATTTAGGCCATGACTGCAAACCCTTGTGGGAATGTCAGCAAGCCCCTCTTTCTGGTCTTTACTTAGCTCACTAGAGACAAGATAATCTCTAAGGCATCCTTCAGGTCAAAAATTGAGATTGAACACATGCACAGAAAATCCTGTACGCACTCCCAGTCCACAGCTCCCCAAATGCAGGACCAGTGCCTGGACATTCGAACTCTCCTAGGAGGGTGGCCAAAGGGAGAATAAGGACAGTGGGCTGACAGGATCCCAAACAGCGGGCACTATCCTTCGGTGAAGTTGTGCGGGACTCTTAGGATCAATGGCAGAAGCCACCTTGCTCCTGTGACAGCTGAGCAATCACAAGTCTAATCAAAGTACTAGGCATCTCCATCAACTCCTCTTGTCTTCACTGTCACCCTCCTCCAGGTCCACTTAGTGACCAAGTCCTGGGAGCCTGTGAAACAAAGCCTCCATTCCCTCTGTGCACTCTGGTCCAGGCCTATCTCTGGCTGAGCTGCTGTGACAGCCTCCTCCCCACCGCCATCTACTGCCTCTTCACCTCCCACTTAGAACCTTCTGGAGATCCCAGGGAAACCAGACATTGCTTGAGAGCAGGCCCTGGATATTCCCGCCCCTTGCCCTACAGCCAGTACTCAGGGTTCAGTAAATGCCTTATATTCGGAATGCCAGCTTTGATGGGTCCCTCTTGCCCCTTGGAATACAGGCCCATGAGACGAAGACCTTGATGAGGGAAAAGAGAGGCTGCTAAACACACCTCTTCAGAGGGAATCACACTGGCTGGCAGGGAAACCTGGGAAAAAAGAAACTTCTAGTCCTCCTACAACCAGCTGGGAACTAGGGGAGTACAATCAGCCCAGAGAAGTCATGAAGATCCAGAAGCCTCTATGGATCTCTATTCAGCAGCTGCAAGTCCTGAGAGTAGGCTCTTCCCTTTCAGCCTCTGAGGTCCCCATCTATAAAGTGGAGGCTTGGGCTAAGTGGCCCCCAGTAGCCCTCCCAACTCTGATGGTCTGGAATCCAGGACAGGTGTCTAGAAGAAAGTCCTACCCACTGAACCAATGCAAATGTAAACTTGAACCCTAGTCCCATCAGCCTGGGAGAATGTGAAACCAACTGGATGACTCACATACCTGGCTTTGCTTGGGAGTTCCTCAGGTTCCACATTAAACTGCTTTGCCAGAGTCTCACATTTATATTTGTTGAAGAGGGTATCGGGCCAAATGGGCCAGCCACGTCAACAAACCCACTACACGGCTGGGCCCGTCATCATCATTGTTTTACAGAAATGGGATTCATTACGTGCTGGCCCTCATTCAGGAGCCTGTTCTATTTTAACAATTGCAATAGCGCCAAACATCCGTCTCCTCCAGAGCTCAGCATAGCGTGCTTTGCCACTGAGATCCATATTTATCACCATTAGAATTATAGAACATTAGGGCATGGACAGGCAGACCTTAGAGATCATTCTAGTCCAGCTCCCTATTTTTACAGATGAGGAACAGAAGGCCTTGGGTGGGAGCATGACTTGCCCAAGGACACAGAGCTGGTTGGAGACAGAGTCCTGAGCAGCTTCCAAATGGCCTTTGAGAGGGCACATGCTGCTCTCAACAAGCTCAGTAACTAGTGATAAGTGCTAATCAAACACTATAAAAGACATACCCATCAGGCCCTATGGTCCACCACGGAACACAACATATCTAAATGCCAGCCACATAACAGTGGGGCAAATGTGCATTTTGTACATATTAAAACCAGATTCAGCTGCATGTAGTGATGCACACCTGTAATCCCAGCGACTTGGGAGGCTGAGGCAGAGGATAGTAAGTTTGAAGTCAGCCTTAGCAACTTAATGAGCCTCTGTCTCAAAATTAAAAAAAAAAAAAAGAAAGAAAGAAAAGAAAAAGGGAAGGGAGGGTTTGTGGTTCAGTGGTAAAGCACCCCAGGTTTAATCCCAGTACTCGTGCCTCCCCCAAAACAAAAACCATATTCATTCTGCATCATACTTTATTTTCTGTGATTACCTTTTTCATCATCTCCTTACCCACCCCAGCCCTGCAGCAAAGAGGTCAGGACAGAAACAGAATCCATAGCTTAAAAAGAAAAACCAAACAAACAAACAAAAAAAAAACCTGAGACCCAGAAAGGTAAGTGGCTGGTCTAAGGAAAATCTAAACTAGAACCAAGTTTAGGGAGCCCTTGAGTTCAGTCAGAGGCCTTGGTCAGATAGGCCGTGGGCTTTACTCCCAGGATAGCAACCCTGGGGTCCTCCAGAGCCCTCACAACCTTCCTGACTTCTCTGGCAGCCACAGCATTAACTGGAGAGCATTTCCCATGTGCCAGGCCTGGTGCTCAGGATTTTATATACATCAACAAATTAATCTTCACAACCTCCTTACATGTGGATCCTGGGCATCATCATTTTAATAGACAAGGGACTGAGCACCAGGGAAGAGAAGGCATTTGCCCAACATCAGTCAGCAGATCCAAGGCAGGGCCAGAAGCAGCACTAATTACCAAGCCTGCACTCTTCCATTCACCTGGCTGGGGAAGGTGAGCCTGATCTCCCGGAGCCCAGGCAAGGGTTTGGCACAGTGTCAGGGCTCAGCAAATGCAGGGAAAAAAAAAAAAAAAAAGAAAGAAAGAAAGAAGAGCAATACATAGCTATAGCTGTGGGTCCCCATTGACAAGTTAACAGCACAGCTTGGGGAGACAGCAGCCCCTGATAAAGGAAGTGCTCCTCTGTCTAAACACCACCCCCTGAGGCAGCCCACTTACCACTGTCTAATGGCACCCACTGGCTTGCCAGACCCAGGGCTAGGCACTCGGACCCAATGGTAAGAATAACCTGTGGTTGATTGTCTAGGGAGAAAGTCACACAGTCATCCAAAAATCAAGCAAAAATAAATGGTGAAAAAGTGAAGTAGAAGAGAAACTGCAAGACGACCTACCTAACAAAAAATGTGAAGGGCCTCGGGAAGGACAGCTGAATACACTACACTCTGAAGGACAAAAAGACAACTTCAGCAGAGAGAAGGGCATTCCTATCAACCCTCCCAAAGTAAATGACTTGCCCAAAGGCAGACCTCTCACAACAAAAAAAAATAAAACTGAAATTGATATCTATGGTTCCTTACTAAACTGGCAAAAATAAAAAAGCCCTCCCACCCTGTTGGTTAGACCACAGCAATGGTAGGAATACCGATCAGGAAAAATATTATGGAGGGCAATTTGGTGACATTTTCAAAATTTCAAATCCAAATACCTTTTGAACAGACAATTTATTGCACAAATATACTCTCCAGAGTGTGAAATGATGTATGTCCAAGTTTAATCAAAAGAGAGGGAGAAAAAAATCACCTAACTTCTTCCAAAAGGACTGGAGCAACCATGAGTTAAAGCTTCATGGAACAACCGTGAATAAAGCTGTAAGTGGCTATACTAAATGAAGCAGGCAGCTCTTTTTGGATGGAATGATCTTCAAGACATGTTTACAAAGCAAGGAGCAAAAGCATTTATATAGTTCAGCACCTTTTGTGCATAAAGGAGGGGATTTGAGGTTATATATTCTGCCTATAGGAACACAGAAAATGCTCAACACAAATTAAAAACAGTGCTTACCTATGGGAGGTGCAGGTGAGAGGGACTGCAAAAAACCCAGATGGATGAGGAACAAGTAGAGGGAGACGTCACATGGATAACATTTTTTAAATTGTGATTTATTTTTAAACTGTGTATTTCCTCTTCAAAAAGCAATTTTAAAGATGCAAATAAATATTAAATTACATCTCTGTTAAGTATGATGAAAAGGTGCTTAATGCTCAGAGAGTGTGGAATGGGAACCCTAAATCTCCTCCCTGAAGAAGTTGTATTTGAACTTGGATCCCAAGGTTCAGGAGGCAGTAGCTAGGTGAGGAGGGTGGGAAGATCATCCCAGGCCCGTGGGAGGCAGGTCAGCCAGTCAGAACCCTGCTTTGTCTTTTAGGAGCATCTGGCTGTGTGGTTCAAGGGATTCCTATTCTAGGCCCCACCTGCCACTTAGGACCAGCTCCAAGCCCAAGCCCTCATGTGGACCCTGGGCCCTTCCTCAGAGAATTAAGAAAAATAGCACATAGAAGAAGGGAGTCTTGGAAGATTCAGAAACTAGTAAAACATGGCTGCTTCACACCTCCCACAACCAGACTCCTTATCCTGGTTTTTATTAAGGGTGGGTAGACACATGGTCTCTCAGACACCCCCAGGTTAAGGAAATTTGCTGAGTTGGAACTCTAAGCTAGAAAGACACTGAGTCCACCTGGTGGACCCTGGGATGATACCACCACCACCACCAGAACTGGTTTGCAACTTCACTACAATGGTGACAGTCCCAGCTCATACAGGGTCTGGCCCCCTTCTCAGGAAGAGGTCCCGATCCTTTGTGGGAACCAAGGTAAGCTGTCAATGGATAGCAGCTTCTAAATCTCCTGGGATACTACAAGGATCCCAGGGAAAAGTCCAAAGAGACTTTTCTGGAGAAAGTTCCTTGATGTCTAGAAGCTTTTAGGGAAAACTAAAAATGCGGAGGTGAACTGTAAAAAGGAAGGGTGTGTTTGAGGCAAGTTCACAGTACAAGATGGCTCTCTCCCAAGCTCTTGCACTGAGAAACCAAGAAGGATGACTACTACTTCTTTTTTTTTAATGTTTATTTTTTTAGTTGTAGTTGGACACAATACCTTTATTTCACTTATTTATTTTTATGTAGTGCTGAGGATCGAACCCAGGATCTCGCACGTGTGAGGCGAGTGCTCTACCGCTGAGCCCCAGCCCCAGCCCCAGGATGACTTCTTCCCCCTTCCATGTGAGCTCACTGCTTCTACTAGCACAGGCCAAGGAACAGAAAGCCAAGGTCCTTAGGAAGTTAATCACCTCCATAGCCCTTGTCTTGCTGGCCACAGATGGCTTCCTCTTCATGATGCTCCAAATAGCTGAAGATAAGACAGCCAGAGCCCTGGGTCCAAAAAGGTGTGAGACTAGGTAGCAGAAGGCTCAGGACAAAGTGCTGCTCCCTTACTCTCAGCTTCTGAGACAATTTCTTCAATCCTCAAGCCCTATAGCAGAGGGGGTACTATAGCCAATAAACTGCAAGTGCTGGGTGTGGAGGAAGAGAGAAGAGAGAAGTTCCATATCCTATCCATCAGGAGAGAAAGCTAAGTTAAAATGTGTACAACCTCTATTGCCAAAGAAGTGAGCCTGGGGCAGGCAAGGCAACTGAGGCCAGGGGGCACCTGGGCCTTATGAGCCTGTCAAGCAGCTCCATTGGCCCAGACTTAACAGCACATGGAGGATTATCAAAAAACCCTCAGAGAACCAGAAAGAGCCACCAAGGAGGTAAGACAGGCTTGGAAAACCTACTGCTGGACTGTGAAGGCCAGATCTCTCTCCTACTTTCCTAAAAAAGTTGGTTTTTCAACCCTGGACTCTTTTTCCTCCAACTTTCTGCAGGGGGGCAGGGAGGTAGAAGGTCCTCCAAGGCATCCCTGAAGCTAGGAACCCTTAAAATAAGCTGTGCTTCCAAAAGATCAAGAAGCTTGATCCCTAGGTATTTTCAGTCACCCAAAAAGTCAGTTTCTGCCAAGCTCTGGACTTACCCATAGTCTGTCCCATGGGGTTGCATGTGCCCACATCTAGGTTCCCTGCTGCCACCACAGAGACCCTCCCTAACTTTTTGAGGCTGGTGCCACAACCTGGCCAAGCAGAGGAGGTGAGTCAAGAGTCAAGTGGGAGTGAATTCTTGGCCATGATGGTACCCAAGAAAACCCAGGAGGCCCCTCTCCTCTCATTTTAAAGGCCCTACTGCTCTGGGAGGTTGGGATTTGGCTGACCCTTCATTGGACATCTGCCCTAGCACCACAAAGAGTCATGAAACAGGCAAGTCAGGAGTTAGTTCGGTTACGTAAGCCTTCTCTTAGTTGACTATTTACACATCACCAATGACAGAGAACTGAACATTCGAAGAAATTAAAACTAGGAACCATTTACCAGTTATCTACTTATTAATCTGAAATGAAGCACAGCTGGCATTTTACAAGAGGAACTATTGATCACAGAATTCTGATTTGTACACAGATCCCCAGAGACAAAACCGAGGCACCAAAAAGGGACATAGCTGTACATGTCCTACCCACCATCCTCACCCTGAGTGTTAGTGCACAGCACCCCCCACAGCCTCCACTGCCCTGCACCCCACTACACCCCTGCCCTGTGCCCCACTATGCCCCTGCCCCGCGCCCCACTACGCCCCTGCCCTGCCCGTCCAGAGTAACCTCAGGAGTCCAGAGAGGCAGGCCTGCGTCCTGGCAGAAAATACCAGCTCTCAGGCTTCTGTTTGCCACACACTTGAGCTAAAAATTTCCACATAAAATGCTCTTTTTTGTGGGTCTGCCAGAGCCAGAAGGGGAAAGAATGAGCTTGGGCAGCCTGGACAGGACGTCAAAGCAGCATCCCAGGGGCTTCAGAATCCTTTCACAAGAGCCAGACCCCAGGCAAGCCAGGCAGGAGTGGACCCAGGAGCCAGAGCAAGCCTTCCTTCCCAAGGCCAGGTGGCTCTCAGGCCAGGCACATCACACATCACAGAGGAGCTTCAGAATTCATTCTTAAAATGTTTACTTGCCTTATGTCACATTCCAGCAAGAACAGATCTGGGGACACTGAAGCTGAGAGATTTGACCCATCATATCAAGATCATCATCATCATTATCATATTTGCTATTTATTTAGAGCCTCACATCTGCAAAATGATTCCTGAATGTTCTCTCATTTAATTCTCACTCCTATGGCAATCTTCATATTTCCTTCCTTTTCCCTTCCTTCCATCCTTCCTCTCTTCCCCCAACCCCATCCCATACTGGGGATTGACCCCAGAAACACTCTACGATTGACATACATCTCAAGACAGGGTAAGTTGCTAAGGCTGGTCATGAACTTGCAATCCTCCTGTCTTAGCCTCCAGTCACTGGAATTCTAGGCATGTGCCACCACACCTGGCTTCCATGTCTACTCTATAAACAAGGAAAAAGAGGCTCAAAAGGACTGAGATCTTTTCCAGAGTCACCAGGCAGTCAGCGGAAGGGGGCCTGTATAGGTATCAGCAGGTCTGGGCTCCGTCCACAAACTGGCCTATAACAACAAGGCCTGTGGCTGGGTCCCGAGAGTCAATTTTCCACATCACTGTCCCCATCTGACCCTCCCCCAACACTGCCCTAGAACTGGCCTCCCAAGGTCAGGTAATCCTGCTCCTTACGTGGCCAAAGGGGTCCAGGTGGTTGTTTGTCAACTTCAGCTTCTGGAAAGAAACCAACTGCCGCATCCAGTGAGCCCCAGTGGCTGGAGAATCTGGGTGGACATAAAGCCTTCCTGGCATGGCCGGCTCAGCCTTTCCTGCCACCATCCTGCCAACAGAGCAGACGAGTGGCAGCAGCTGATTACATGGGGTCTAGTGAAGTCCAGATGCCCTGTCCCCTCTCAGAGTAAACCCCCAAAACAGCTACTGCTCCCATCCCAGTGTCAATCAAGGATTTTCAGGTAGGAGCAAGGGCAGGGGAGAGAGTGCTAATGAAGAGGAAGGAAGCACAGTTCTGAAACTCTTTTACTTCACTGCAGTAGAGAGAGGGATGGGGAGGAAATATGAGAATTTAGATGAAGGATTCAGGTAATCATAAAGATAACTGTGGGACAATTTAGGCACTTTTGTGTGCCATATTTATAATTTATATTTGTTTATTTTCCTTTATGCAATGCTAGGGATTGAACCCAGGGCCTCACACATGCTAGGCAAGTGCTTTACCACTGAGCTACATCCACAGCCCTTTTTATAGCTTATTTTATTTATTTATTTTTGGTACCAAGGATTGAACTCAGGGGCACTTGACCACTGAGCCACATCCCCAGCCCTACTTTGTATTTTATTTAGAGACAGGGTGTCACTGAGTTGCTTAGCCCCTGACTTTTGCTAAGGCTGGCTTTGAACTCTCAATCCTCCTGCCTCAGCCTCCTGAGCCACTGGGATTATAGGCATGTGTCACCGTACCTGGCTTTTTATATCTTATTTTGAGACAGGGTCTCACTAAGTTGCTGAGGCTCATCTCAAACTTACAATCCCCCTGCCTCACTCAGCCTTCCAAGTCACTGGGATCTTAGGTGCACCACTATGCCCAGCTTATATTTGTAATTTTTTAAAAAATATTTATTTTTTAGTTTTAGGTGGACACAATATCTTTATTTTATTTTTATGTGGTGCTAAAGATCAAACCCAGTGCCTCATGCATGCTAGGTGAGCACTCTATCACTGAGCCACAACCCCAGACCCTTATATTTATAATTTTTAAATGTTATAAGTTGTACTAGCTGGAGGTAACTTCTCAAAGGGCCTAGACATCTTTTAAATTGCTTGCCCAAAAAATCATGCCAAGAAATTAATAAGCAGCTGGCTCTCAGCCAGAGCCTGCTTTGAATTCTGATCTAGGCCAAAGAGAGAGAAAAGAGAAATGTGGACTTGGCCACCAAATCCTGCCTCCTCAACTCAATCCCTGCCAGCTCTCCTACCCCATCATGGAGCCCAGGCCCCTGGCCAGCATCCCTCTCTTTCAGTGGGCCCTGCTGAGCTCCAAAGGCAGAGAGAGTACTAAATAGTTAGCTCATGAAAAGTAACCAGCACTGACTTACCCATTTGGCCCCAGTGTTGTCTGGCCCCTCAACCTGCCTATCTGCCCAGGCCCTTGCTAAAGGGTCCTACCATCTGACACCCAGCAACAGCCTCATTCAGTCTGAAGGTGGACATATTCTATAGCCAGACAAAGAAGACATGAGTGGACAAACAGGAGAGAGCCACTGCCAGCCAGATGTCAACTATTAAAGACCCCCAAGAAAAACGGTTCCCATTCTCCTCCTGAGTGAAACACTGACAGAGCTTGAATCTTCCATGTTAGTGTTTCCCATTACCCAAAAGCACAGTCATCAAATCCTGATTTTCTATGCCCACCAGGACAGCATGTACCCCAGAAGTCCACAAACACCAAACACTGCAGCTATTTTATTTCAGCTTGAGCCCCACATGGGCAGGTGTGCAAACACCTGAAGCCCTCCCCAGCCTCTGCAGCAGGAAGTAGACTGGAGGCTATGGTTCTGGGAAGTAACTTAAAGAATAGTTGGGGGATCCCTGGACCAATTTTGGGGGCATAAGTGGGAAGGGCAGTTGAGGGAAGATGGCCCCAGGCCTCTTACCATTTGTTGTCACAGAACTTGTAGCGGTGGTCATCTGCAGGGACGATATCAATCAGCAGGATGTACTTGGTCTTGGGGTTCATGCCTGTGACTTTAACCTTGTAGCTGGGGAACATTCTCCTGGAGGAATCAAGGGGTGAGACAGAGTGTGGACAGAGCACCAGGAGAGATGGAACAGAGTGAGCGAGGGCAGAGAGTGCCCTTTTAGCAAGAGATCGTGGCCCTATGGCAGTTACATGGCACCTCCCTTTGCCCTAGCTGCTCTCTGAATCCCACAGCATTCAGTCTGTGTCCAGGAAAACAGTTTACATGATATCCCAAATTTCCCTCTCTCCCCAGGTCTCCAAAGATTGGGGCCCAGTGTCTGTGAGCCACTGAAGCACAGAAATCCTGGTCAGGATTCTGAGAGAGGATTTTAACATCAAACTGGTATGCTAGTCTGTACATAGCTAAAGTTCTGGGGCACCACCACAGACTGCCACAGCACATGACCTGGAAGTCCCTGTCAGCTGCTTCTATGCACAATGAGATGCCTCCTTTGTGTCCCATCCTGTGGAACTCTTGTGAGCTTTTTAACACAACTTGCAGGAAAACAGGAGAGTGCTTCTGAAAACCCTGCTAAGTTTGGATTCCTCCTGTGTGTTCAGCAGGGGTATTTCTCACTGTGAATGCCTCACCTTGGCCAGTGCACCTAACTGAAATCAGGAAAACTGGATCCAGGAACACAGATTCTGAAACCACCATGCCATACTCCACAGCCCGACTCCACCACTGATAAGGTGTTGGGCAACTTGAGTTTCCTGTGCTGTGGTTTCCCTACCTCTAAATTGAGGATAACATCACTAGCTAGATCATAGATTGCCACGTGGATTAAATGAGTCTACTTGTGACTATTATTACTGCCCCCTCTCTGCTTCACCGCACCCCTAAGTCTGTGGTATGACCTATTTTCATGAAAATGGATTCACCAAAGAACAGTTTTCCAGTTCCTACAGCCCATGCTGAGGCTGTCCAGGATCCTAAGGCTCAGAGAACATTCTAGAGAAAGGTTTCCCAGACCCCTGAGCACATACACACATATCTTCAGGGGCATAGCTCCCTCCCCTGGCCACCAGGCTCCTGACACTGAACTTCACCAGAGGAGCAGAGGGGTCTTCCTCACACTATCTCCCAGTAGTCCCCTGCCCCGCACTCCATCTTCCACAAAAGTACTCTTGCTAGCAGGGAGTGAAGCAAGATCCAAACCTAAGAACTGAAAGACACTAGGGAAATGGGTACCATCCCACCCTGAGCTGTGTCACTGCCCAGACAGTCCACTCCAAGAAAACCATCAGCAAGTTGTCTGCCTCTCATAACCCAAGAGAGTATGGGTACCTTCACAAAACGCTGCCCTAGACACCTCAAACAGATCAGAGTCCCCATTTTGTTCACAGGGGTACCAGCTTACCTGGGTAGGACAGGGCTTCCAGAAAGAATCAAGCAGGCAGACCCTACAGCAAGCCCCTCCAGGACCCTGAGGCAGAGGAAGGGCTCAATCCCTGCCCTGCCCATGGCCCAGCCTGTGCCTCCTCTCCTGCTGCGGGAGAGGCCTATGAGCGCCCTGCACCGGGGAAGAGGGGCTGTGCTGGGCCTGTGCACACAGGCGCATGTGCATGAACACGTGGTGCAAGTGCGCATGTGTGTCGTGCCTGGAGGGCGGGGGTAGTTCTAGGTGCTAGTGTAGGGACTTATAAACTGTGTGGAAGAATTTGTCTCAGATGTCAATTGAAAGCATTTTCAAATGTCCACCCCACCCCCTCTATGGGAAGTGAAAAGGCTCAGGAACCCAATTCTGCCTCCTGTTCACCAGCCCTCTGCCCGGCCTGGGGGCACAGCTGGAGCCTGCACTACCCATTTTCCTGGCTCTGCCTTTCTCGAGGTGGGCCTGAAGCTGAAGGGGGAGGGCAGCAGCTGCCTGGCCTTCCCTTCAGGGAGGAAGGAAGGCCAAGAATCCTGTCCCCTGCAGTCCACCATTTTGTAACTGCTATAGAAACAGCCACAAAATGGGGCAACCCTGGCGGTGCTTCTGCTGGCCTGGCACCTGTGGCCTGCACTTAGACTGTTTCTCCTGTAATCACTCCAGGTGGCAACAGCAGAGGGCAGCCACAGCTTCTTGCCCAGGCTAGTGTCCACACAGGGGGCCAGGCAGGAGGAAATGGCTGACTGCCACTTCACCAGTCTTCATAACCCAGATGGAGAATAGGATGAGGGATCCTTTCCTTCCGCTCCTCCTCCCTAGTACACTTAACCTCAGCAGCTCAGGAGGCCAGGGGTTGACTGAGTGCTTATTAGAAGCCCTTTTAGGAGCCTGTACTCTGCCCCGCAGGGCTTGGAACTGGTATCTTGTGAGCTGGCCCCTCTGGGAAGCTGACCAGAGATCAGATTCCAGACAGTTAGTAGTCTCAGGGAGGTGTTAGGGCACTGGTGCAAGGAAGGAGAGTACCTCCTAGCCTCTGCCTCTTCTGCCCACAGGTTCCCCTCTTCCTGTGGAAGCAATCTTCAGAATCAGGGAGGACAGATATCTGGTCTAGCTGGGGTGTTTGAAAGTCTTTGGCTGCAGGCTGAGGTGGCTGAGGCTCAGGAAGCTCCACTGCCTTCAGAGAAACAGATGGCCAGGTCTCTGGCAGGGTACAGTTTTGGCACAGGGTACAGCTTCTGGGACCATGCAGAACACACTACCGACCCATATCATTCTCCCACCTAGGTGGCTCCAGGAAGATGAATGGCCCAGCCGGGGTGGAGGAAGGGCTGCAGGAGAAGGTGAGGCACACCTCCACCTGTGGCATCTGCCCTTGGTTGTTAAGGGAACCCAAAAGCCTGGCTTGAGGGTTTTCATCAGATCAGCATGACTCAGGCAGCAGAGGCCAGGCTAGATTTGGGAGCTGTGACTTCCTCTGAGCTCTACTGGTGAAGTAAAGGTCCTCCCTAATGAAACATACGAAACCACGGAGTAAGATGTAAGTTACTCCTCTGATTTATGACATAAAATGTACCTGAAAACCAACACCTTCTGGGGAAAGGAAACCTCTGTGGGCTTGCGGGGAGGGGGAGGATCAAGAAGAGAGGCACTGACTGCGCCATCTCCATCTCCCTCTCAGGCCCTTGTCACTAGTGCCCACCAGCTGCTGGCCCCAGGCTGCCTGCGCTGTCCCTGTGCCCGCACGCTCCCAGTTCCCTCCAGGCCTCTTGCCCCGCCCACTTTCCCCGCGACCCGCCTGCAGCCTTCACGCAGTACCCGCGCGCCTTCTCCCTGGGCGCCGCGCGCCCTCGCGGTGCTGTCCCAGTTCCCCGCTCCCCTCGGACTCAGTACCACCAGACACAAGGGCACTCCCCCGGCACAGCACGCGCGGAAATGGCTCCGCCAGGGGAATAAACAAGCTGCCTCCTCGCCGCCCGCGAGGAGATGAAAGCCCGGGTTTCTTCTCTGATCATGAGACGGGCTCTGAAAGGGTGCGGGCCTGGAGCCTTTATCTGCTTCATACTCGGAAATGGTTTTAGAATGAGCTGCTAAGATAAGCGTTCTCCGACGTTTCTGGGTGTTGGAGGCTTGCGGGGCCCGGGCAGGGGCTTGGGGGCATTTTGATTTTGGCAACAAATCTGTAAACTCGAACTCACTATAGAGAGAGGGGACGCCCAAGTGATCGCTGTGCGAGGGAGCCACGCGGCTCCCAGGTCAAGGCGCTGACCTTCCTGCCCACCCCCAACCACCGAGCGTGGGGCAGAGAATAGAGGACCTAGGGTCTCATCCGATTCTCTCCGATTCTCTCCGCCTGGCCTGGCTCCAAACCCACTTCAGCCTGGACTTCCCTGGGACTCCGGAGGGCTCCAGAAGCAGCTACCTGCGCCTTTTCTTAAATTCGGCACAAAAATAAATCTAAGGGGTGAGAAGTCTGGAAAGTGGTTTCCAGGGTGGGAGTGGTGGTGACTGGAGGGCGCTCAGGAGGGACTCTGGGTGTTCTCTTCCTTTCTCTAGATTGTAGTTTCAGCTCTGTCCCTTTTGTGAAAAGTTATAGAGCTGTACCCTTAAAATTCGTACATTTTTCTGCAGAAATACTGCAGTAAAATCGACATTAAAATTATATATGCTCACACACACATATACACACATGCCTTAGAGCCAGAGTCTGGAAAAATAAGGAAAAAAAAGCTGCAGGGAAAAGACAGGGGTACACTGGAAACTTCAGCGACTTCTACCTCCAATGTCCAGGGTCCTCAGGAAGAATACTAGGTAGGATGGGAAGAGGCCAGGGCTCAGACACCAAGTCTGAGGTTAGGGTGGGGTAGGGATGGGTGCTGCTTATACTGAAGCCAAACATTTTGTAGCCAAAAGATTTCTGAGAGCATGCCCAAGCTACTCAATTGATTCGCACTACACACACACACACACACACACACACACACACACACAGAGTTTTCTAATTTGCCCAAAGTATTTTTAAGAAATATTTTCCCTGAGGGGAGGAGCAGGGTGAGGGTGTGTGGAATGGATGCTGTTTGGGAAGGTCAGTTGCTTCTCTTAGATTTTTTTTTTAAAAAGGCACTTCCTTTTGATAGACTTTTGCTTTCAGAAAATACTTTAAGAAGAGATCAAAGCACTCTCTCCCCAACCCACTTTCCCAGTGTCTTCAACCCTTACTTCTCTTATCATCCACGCCACTGGGCTCTGACGCTCTGTATACAGAGCAAGGGCAATTGGCTTTGAAGCCCCGGATTAAGCCTGGCCAAATCCTTGCCTCAGAATAACAAACAATACAGGTTCAACAGGAGTTCTCATCGGTAGTTCATTTTTCAAACGCAAATTCACTGTCACTAACACAAGCAACATTGAACTCAACAGGCTATGAAGGCTGATAGTGGAGATTTATCTGGTGGCAAAACATGACCTAGGAGTAGGGCAGTCAGACGGTTAGGGAATTTTCATTTTGGGGAGTTTATATTTAAATTTTTGTGGAGCTCACTTTTATCTGTATTTGGGAGAAAATGCAGTTTCTCACATGTATCAAGCTTGGCAGCAATGTGGAGTCTGCTCTCTGCAGTGACTAGCATGAGCCCTGTGGGTGCAGGAGCCTGAGATGGACAGAAACTGGCTGGGGAGCCGTTTGGCCCCCATTTTACACCTGACATCAGGGGTTCCTGAGCATCCAGAAATTGGTATGTTATCTTGTAGTTGGCATTTTATTCACCAAATGAAAATTGACAATTCATTCTCTAATCACTTTCAAGGACTCAGACAGGCTCAGATAGGAGGCTTATGAGCCAAGAACTCAAACTGGCTTGAGAACATTCTGCATCCCCTTTTCCAGGAACCCCTCTTCCCTAACCAGGCAGTGTGTTATCATGTCCCCAACCAGTCATGGTCTCTGGGCAGAACAGCCCCACATTAAACAGGGTCCTGCAAAAAAATGCAATCAAGGGGATTTCTCAAAGCTAGGGTCTTGTTCTGGGTGGGTGTGGGGTGCATCATCTGCTTGGCTCGTGTAGTCCTATCGATTGCCTAACTTCCCTGCTCTGGGTTTAGTTTATGTCTTCCCAGTTCTCTTCCAGTTCTCACAGTCTAGGAATCTGTGATCCAAGGTTTAGGAGAGAGGTTCAGGCCATCTGCTAAGAAATGAAACTATCCCAGGAAGGGTTCTGGTGGAAACAGAGAGTTTAGGGGAACAGGGAGAGGCACAGGAAAGAATGTTGCCTACAAAGCAAGCTGCATCCAGAGCCTGCCCTTGCATAATCATCAGAGTGATAAAAGTGGTTTCTGAAGACATTGGGGTGCTGGGAACTGGGGTGCAGTTCAGTGGTAGAGCAGCATGTGCAAAACCCCGAGTTGGATGTGCAAAACCCTGAGTAGGATCCCCAGCATTAAAAAAAAAAAAAAAGTGGGCAGCCATGCAGGAGGACATGGGGTCTATGAGAATCTTGGGTGGGGGTAGGGAGGAATGGGGCT